TGTGTGTATGTGTGTATTTATGTATAAATCTATGTAAAAGAGTAATGTATTACGAATCTACACATGTGTAAAAATAATATACGAAATTCTGAAAAATTGAAGGCATAGGCCTGGAGCAAGCCGGTACAACCACAACAACGGAAAATTAAATGCATAAACGCTACTCCTGATAAAAACACAACTCCAATTACAGTTTACAATTCTAGTACTGGCAATCGAGTGTATTTAAACATCATTACAAAACTGTTACAAAATGATAGCACTAGAATTTTATTAAAAATTCATTAAAATAGTGTTATACGCAGTACGTGTATATCTATAATAAAATAGAAATATCGGGGATCTCAAGTGACCGATAAATTTCGATTAGATTGGGGACTTTTTGTGGTTGTTTGTATTTCCTTTGCCGTGTTGTACCGGCTATCAGGCTAATCGGTCACACGTTTCAGTAAAATAGAATAGAAGCTTTTTCGTTGAAGATCCGTCAATGAAAGATCAATATTTTAAAATAGGCAAACAAGAGAGAAGGAAAAAGAAAGAGAAAAAAGGACAAAATTTGAATTGAGTCGGTTTTGTATAGGTCGGTCATATACAATATGCTTGAATTTAGTACAAGTCTCCTTTGCCCATTGTCATGCCAGTTATTGGAGTTGTGTTTTTAATTTCTGGTAGCTACGCTCCGGGCCTTGGCCAGTCCAGCGTTGGGCGAAATCCGGACATGGACTATGTGGAGCTGATGAGTCATGGTGAATTACCCTCGATCGACGAGAATCTCAACTTGGATCAGTTTAGCTTCTCCGAGTTCATACAATCGTACAACACTAAGCCACAATAGGTATGTCAGGCGCGATATATTTCTTATATATCTACCTATCAATCAATTGTTTTTGTTTTTCATCTCGATGATATCTTTAATCGTCTACATGACGGATATAGTCTGTTATTATTGTTGTTTTATAGGGGAGGGATGTAAAAATGTTTTCGTTGTCTGCAATATATATATATGTATATCTATATAGATTCGCCTCCAAGGAAACGTGGCATATCTTTCATTTTCATAGTATGAAAGTGCAATATGTTTAAGAGAACAAGTATCAGTTAGTTATGAACAAATAATTGAAATTGATCTTAGTTACAATTATGTGTATCACTGAGTGTACCTCTGTGTGTCGTTTTATAAAGTTATATACTTAATTTTCAATTCAGTACTTGTTACATTAATAGAAACTGGTCTTATATATTTTGCCATTTAAGTTTTATTCAGAAACAAATATCGTTTGGCACAAGACGTCGAACATTATGTATTCTACTATGATAAAACGTTAATATATAATATGTAATTTTAAATGCTATATTTTTACAAAATAACGATAGTTTTTTACAGGTATAATATTGAATGAACTTTGTCTTTTTCTTAAGCATCATCCAAAAAATAACTTATAATATATGATCTAGTAAAACTTTTATGTATTAATTGAAGAAATATACACAAGAGATAATGGTAACAAATGATGATTAGATTTAGATGTCAACTGACAGTAGAATTGCTATGATAATAGGTAGCTATGATGCTATGATGCTCTATGATGCTATGATAATTTAATACAGACAATCATTTCTACGTCCAGTCATGTATATAGTGAATTTACAGAAAATAAGTATTTTAATTTAATTAACTAATGGGATAGTGTGCGGAAATGAGAAACGGGATTTTGTGCAACGCTAACAAAGAGTGTGTATAACATGTAATCAGCGTGACCTAAATATGTGCCTTATGATGATCTTCGAATTAATGCTCGTTATATTTTTTGAGAGCTCTTACAAACAAGTTGCATGTATTTTTAGTAAAAAAATTTTGTCCTCGTCTCATCATTTAACTTTGACGAAGAAATAACATATTTCTTTATATCGTTTAAATGTCTTTTATGTTCAAAATTTTTATTTTTTCAAAATTTTTTGGAAAAATTAAAATCGAAAATTTCTGTTTATATAACTGTTTGGTGTATAACATTTTCAATTTTTCAATTACCGAAATTAAATTTTTTGATAAATTTTTTAGATCTCTAAGCATAGGAAGTTTCTATTGTCGGTTAAAATAGATAATTCATTTTTTAACTATTGTTCCCTCCCCTGTAGTTTATATCCTCTATTGAAAATTCAATCGTTGTGCATATATAAAACATCGATATACGCTAAATTTCACTCTAAATAGGGATAGAATTGAAAGTAGAGTTATTCCTATTAAATTTACTATATGTATAATATAAATATTATATATATATATATATATATGTACGTATAAATTCACATACGTACATATTTATGTATAAGTGTGCATGCATGTACTTGATCATGTATATGCGTAAACGTACACGCATGTACATGTATGGATGTAGCTAAATTTCTAAAGAGTATATGTTAATATTGTTTATTATTAAATCTATTGTCTATTATCCTTCATCAAAGATTAGAATTTATTTTATTATTGAGAACAATTTTACTGTTTGTAAATGATATACGTCATTATTGTTCTTATTCATTTATATATAATAATTATTATTATATAAGTGTAAAATAAGATGTGTTCGTGCTGAATTGACGTATCGAATAAAATAGCTTCTAATTCGATTTTTTAATTGTTTCCGTTCGAATTTTAACAATTCAATATTTTTTCCTTTAAATATTTATTATAACATACAGTAGAAATTTATTTGGAATAATGATAAAGCGATATAAAAATTCTGTCATTCAAGAAATTGAATATTCAAAAATCTATTTTTATTTGCACTTCAGTCACAATTTGCAGTCTCTATTCGTGTTAAGGAATTGTCACATTTGGAATCCAAACATTTATAATCTTTAGGCACGCAAATATCTTCATAATATCCAGGTACAGGATAACTAACTTGATAAACAGTATCAGCACACATAGGATTTGTAGGCGGTTGATATTTATCTTTAAATGCCCATGGTATATGTTCCTTAGGAATTGGAGTCCAAGGCTGATATGACAGTTTATTTACAGTATCATATTCAATTTTTTCAGATCTAACAATTCAATAAAAGATATTAATTAATAGTAAAATTGATCAAAGATAGATTGATGCATAGATTCTATTTGCCAGAGTAAATTCAATTTAACATTCATCTGTGTGGCTGTCTTTTTTATTAAAATCTTTAAATTAAAAATTAAAGAAAGAACATTTACTACATTTTTTATGATTTTAAAGTTATTTAATTTATTTCATCAAACCTGCTCTATAAATACTTGAGAAAAAAGAAATCTATTGATATTATTATTATGAAAATCTTTTTGAATATTTGATTATTAAGGAATTAATAAAAATGTTTTAACTATAACTGTAACTCTATCAACTATAAACTCTGAAATTATTTACATCAACTTATGTATATATAATTATACTATAAGTTAGGTCATCAAAATCTTAAGTCACCTCTCATTTTTAATAAAATTTTTAATACATTATTTTGTGTATTAATTACTTTCTTTGTCATAAAAGTATTAAGTATTAAATAATACTCTATTACATTAGTTTTAATTTTTTCCAATTTTGAAATAAATAACTGCTTTACGATTTTGAGCAACAACTTACTAATACGTACTTATGTATATGTGTGAATAATAAGAATATCTAATAATAGGAATATCTAATCTACCTCTGATATTGAACGACAGGTTTGTAACTTTGAACCCATTCTGTTGCGTCAGGTTTCGTGTAAGATAATTTTGTTGTAGTTCTGTCATCAATTGGTGTATCTGGATTTCGAAGATTATTACATGGAATAATAAGATCCGGTCGTAATGTCATTTTTTTAACAAAGTCGCAACGGTTGGTAGTTTCAGATTGTATCGAGCCATCGCCTATCATATTTCTGGTGCGAGGTAATATTGGCAAACGTTTCTCGCTATAAACTGGTTTGTAACTTAACTATAAAAGAAACAGAAGAAAGAAAATTAAAAACATAGAGAGAAACAATAGCAAATGCTATCAATAAATAAAGAAATTATTACAATAAAAAGACAGTTCCATTTTCAAGTAAACCGATAAAAACTTTTTAATGTGCTATAAATTCATAGTTAT